GTAGAAGTGAATCATTTACTGCTTGCAAACCAATGATGGTAAGATGATGTCATGGGGTAGGACTGGATAAGTCTGACTTCTTCCTACTCCATTCAAGCATGTACTAGGTATAAGCAAATTGATATTGGATTATGTGTGTTGTCATATCAACTGTCTTTACATGCTTGAAAGAATAAATCAAATCAAATCAAAGAACACAACGAGGACACAGCTGCTGTAACTTGCTGCCACTCCGCGCAGTGCATGCGTACGTAAGTACGTAGTAGCAAAGAACACTTAGTCTTAAAATAAAAAGTTACATAAAGGCAACAAAGCATTAGGACCAATACGCACAAGGATGATAAAAGTAGCGTCATCAGAATGTTACATTTTACACAGCACAAATAAGCAAAACAAAGGCACCTAAAAACAGGGCAAAGCAGCACTGGAGAGAATCAGGAACAAAGTTTATCCTCCTTCCATTTACGTTCAGCTTTATGACATCGTCTATGTTCGCAAGTTAAGGTTCCACATTTGGCTTAGCCGGTCTACATTGGAGGGGAGCAGTGGAATACAGTATATATCCAAGATAAGTATATACACATTGAGAGCCAATGTACCAGAGTCAAAAATTTCTCGTGTGTCCGACACACCTGGCCAATAAAGCAGATTCTGATTCTGATATATCCTGACTGGTGGAGGTTAAGACTTAATACTTCCTCAGGATCTATGTAGGAGGACACATCCCCCATCAGATACAGACCGGAATTTTTAAAGCAAGTAGAAAATTCTCCTGTTGTTGATGAGGTGATTGTACATCTGGTACCAGCAGGAACAGAAGGTTTGTCAAACAGTGGCGGCACATTAACTTTGAATAACACAGGGAAATGATCGGAGAATCAAGTTGCATACTTCGGTAATAAAAACAGGCAGCCCATGGGAGATCACAAGGTTCAGTGTATGTCCAAGCTCATGTGTAGGGCTATGCACCGACTGAGTGAGGTTAAGAGTCAGTAATAGTTAAAAAGTCTTTAGAAAAAGGGTCAGTTGGGCAATATATATGAATGCTAAAATCACCAAGGATTAAAAGCCTATCAAACAAGCAAGGCAAGATAAAACCCAGGAGATCAGAGACCTCTTGAATAAAGTCCTTATTAAATTTAGGAGGACGATAAACCACTGCACACAGCAGTGGTTGAGAGAGTTCTATCATGAACAGCTGTAGTTCAAAACTTGAATAAGTGTCCACTTTCAGCTGCCAACATTTAAAATGTACGGGGGAGCTGAGGAAGGAACAACCAGGTGGAAGAAGCTCAGAAAATGCACAATGCGCACCTTCCTTTAACCAAGTCTCAGTCAGCAACATGAAATCCAATTTCCACCATATAAAAAAGTCATTCGGAATGAATGTCTTGTTAGCCAATGATCTAACGTTAATCAAACCCATCTGAATCAATAAAACAAGGTTCGGTGGCTGAGAAACACATCTCCACAGTCGGAGATTAGACCAATTTACGCCTCTTCTTGGTGATATGGATGAGGGGCCGAAAAATTCAGGCCTATGGGCCGAGGCCAACCACAAAAGAGGCCAGGCCAGCGAGTCATACTAGGATGACAACAAAACCAGTCGAGTCCACGGCAACGGTCAGAGGCATCCGCAGAAGCAGAGTGCCAGATAGCCTTTAGGTGGAGAGCCACCCCGCTCCTCTTTCCTCGTTTTCTGGTACGCTCCCTTTGTGAGCAGACGAAGTAAGAACACCGAAGATATGCCAGTATCTTCACCAGTAATGGTGGGACAGTGAGTTATCCCAGCCTGTTACACTGGGACACTTTTCCACAAACAAACAAATATTAAGAAGGGCAGCACAATCGTACATTAGTAGAGTGAATGCATTCGGAATGACAGTGGACAGAGACAGCATAAACAGTGAAAACAGCAACATACACCGGAGAGGCTGATGGCAAACCATGAACAGCGGAGCCACCTTGGAAAAACCAGAATAACGTTCAACTTTCAGGCCCAAAACAAACAGTAGGATTCCAGCCCTTCACTATCCATTAAGTCTGTTACATTGAATAAAATGTCACATGTTAACTTACTGATCTTTTCTTCACATCATTTATACTTCACTGGATTAAAATGGTGGCTCTGCTCCTTATTTCCCAGTTGCTGTGGTGAATTGTAGATCGGCGCTCCACTGATGATGGCTTTTTAAAGTCATCATACATAAGCTTTTCTTCGAGCGAATCACCTCAGAGTTAATTCAATTAACTCTGATCAGAACAGTTCTAGAACTGAAAACTCATCAGTCACAGTTCAGGGTTAAGTGTAGAGTTGGTGTTAAGCAGATTTTTCATACATCACTCTGCACAAAGAAGTTCAAATATAATAAAGGAACAAGAAGAAAAAACTGTCACATAATTCAGTCATTATTTAATGCTTATGATATTAATCTGAATTAATAGCTACAATTAACTAATAGTTATAGAATCAAATTAGGATTTACAAACTCAAATTAAAACTCTAAACAAAAACCACCTGGCAAGTTGCACAGACATGGTGACCAGCACCAGAATATTTAGTTTTGAATGTAAAACAATCATTACAAGAATCTTAGGTCTTAATTGAAATCAGAACTACTGAGTTCATCTTAAATTGGTCTCTATGTTTCAAAATAAAATGTAGAGACTAAAATAAGCAGCTCTCACCTTCAGTTTCCTCAGAGGAACTGCCTCCCAGTCAACTGTCTTAAACCAGCGGTGCTTCTTTACGTCATCTGCTCCATTCTGAAACAGAAAAACATGGAAGAAACATGTTGGTAAATAGGCTATAACAATGTCTCATAAGAAAAAACTTGCCTATAGGAGCATCACTTCAATGGAAATCCAAGTGTGTTGCCTGCTCGTTACTCTGACAAATGCACATGGCAGCATGACATTATATACCGCCAATTTAAATAGGCCACAATTTAAATCTTGTATTATATGCAGCTGTCTTTTATTGATTTTTAAATGCTCAAATAAGTTCCTGTCACTCTTTTACATTTAAATACTGATGTTAATGTGGTCAAAATCATCACTGAAAATCGTGTGTATATATACACACACACACACACACACACACACACACAGTATATATATTTATAGGCTGACAAAATCCTTAGTTGGGTACAGTCTGATTAAATGTTAATATGTAATTTAAATGGAAATTGAATTAATACATTCAGAAAATAAGGTTTCAGTTTATCAGATGATTATAATATAACTGTCATTCTGCTGGTGGCACTGCTTAATCTCAATACATCAGGAGAGAAAGGACAGCCTGTGAGTACACAGTAACATCAATATTGTGTTAATAAGCGAGGCGATAGCTCTGCAGAGGAAAATGGTCAGGCCTCAAATCAAAATGATCTTGTCTAGGATTATGTGGAGTTAATCACTGGGCTTAGAGGAGTATTTGTTTTACTGAGAGCAGCTCTCAGTTCCCTGCTCCTCCTACTTCTGCCAATTGAAACCCTTCGATGCAGTTTGAATGGGAATCTACACAGCTCCCATTGTTTGGTGATGAAGTGTCAGGCTGCTAGTTTAAAAATTACCTATACTATATATTATTTTCCATTCTGTAATTATTCCTATAGATCACTAGAAAAAAATGTCTCATCAGACTGCTGACAAGGAAATTAGTCAAAATGTTTCCCTTCCACATTTCAGAGCGTCATCTTTTTAAGATTCTGTACTGAAGCTTCTGGGGAGGTCTAACAGAAGCCCCATTTAAATCAGGGGCACACTCGATATGAGGGTGTCAGGGAGATTGATTCACTCCAGACAAAAATTCTCACTTTGCTGAAGGAGACTCACTGGACAGGAGCTACAGTTTGATTCCACAGATGATTAAGTTACTTCCCGTCTATTCATCTGTCTTTCACATTATCATGTACTTTTTAATTGTTGACAAAAAAAAAAAGTAAAACAGTTCATCAGAGTTCTTGATATCAAACATTACTTTTTATTTAATTTTGTTTTCACCCTGAAAAACAGGTTGTCAAAGAATAGTTTTCGTTGACAAAATCAACACAGTATCATACCTCCACTAGCTAGAATTTACTCAGTTGCCACAAAGTTATCTTATCATGTGACCTATTTGAAGCTTTGGTCTCATTGTATTTGAAAGCTCAGGAAAAACCTCCGAAGTAGATCTTGAGTTAGAATTATTTTGATAAACTACTCTTCCCAAACTGAAGTTCAAGTGTTTTATTTTGTTATGTTTTTATATATACCCAAACCTCATTGATTTAAATAAGCTACTGTATTAGTTAAAGCTAGATGTACCTAATAAACTGGCAAGTGGGTATATTTTAGAGCATTAAAAAAAAAAAGCACCAATATTGATCTTTCTCAAATGATACCCTACCCAGACACAATATTTAAATTACAAATTAGACACATTACAAATACCAGTACTCACAAACTGATGTCCAACCTTAACAGGCCTGTAAAATCTCTTCATTTATGACTAAACGGAAGAATAATGACCTTCAGTCCATCAGGGTGTGAACCTTTTCCTGTCCTGATCTCAAACTGCTGACGTTTGCTGACTATCTATTGAAGGAAGAACTACTGGGAGCAGCCATGTGACTCACAGAGACAAGAAGTCTAACCAACTCACCTTCATGTTGCCTAGCCGTCTGGCTCGGTCAATGACCAGAAATTTCTTGATGAGGTCTCTAGGGGAAAGGGAAAAAAAAAACAACAACCAGTGGATCTACAACTGTTTTAGTAAATCCTGAAGTGTTCTCCTGCTCTCTCTCACAAGGAACAGGCAGATACCTGAATGGCCTGTATAGCTGAAAGTATGCTGGACTTATAAAGTCCCAAAAAACGGACGGAAGATCCCAGAATAATAACTAGAATAATGCATTTCCTGTCGAAAATGTGTGTGGATGCCGATGAGCTGAAAAATCGCCCTGAAAATGCTGAACATTTTGACACCTGAAAGGGATAACTACCTGAAAGTATGCTGAAGTAGAATTTTCCTATTCATTTGAATGGAGCAAGATTTTCAAAATAAAGCTAAATATTTTAAAAGTATGAAGTTTAGAAAAATTGTGAATAGAAGCATGAATGTCCTTGAGGAGCTGAACATTTTGATAGCTGAAAGTATGCTGAAGAAGAATTTCCCCCATTTATTTGAATGGGGCAAAACTTTCAAAATAACGCTAAATATTTCAAAAGTATGAAGTTTAGAAAACTTCTGAAGAGAAGCAAGAATGTCCTTGAAAAGCTGAACATTTTGATAGCTGAAATTATGCTGAAGTTGAATTTTACCATTCATTTGAATGGGGCAAGATTTTCAAAATAAAGCTAAATATTTCAAAAGTATGAAGTTTAGAAAACTTCTGAATAGAACCATGAATGTCCCTGAAGAGCTGAACATTTTGATAGCTGAAAGTATGTAGAAGTTGAATTTTTCCTATTCATTTGAATGGAGCAAGATTTTCAAAATAAAGCTAAATATTTCAAAAGTATAAAGTTTAGAAAATCTCTGAACAGAAGTATGAATGCTCTTGAAGAGCTGAACATTTTGATAGCTGAAATAGCTTAAAGTATGCAGAAGTAAAAATTAAGATTTTCAAAATAAAGCTAAATATTTCAAAAGTATGAAGTTTAGAAAACTTATGAAGAAACGCATGAATGTCCTTGAAGAGCTGAACATTTTGATAGCTGAAATTATGCTGCAGTTGAATTTCCCCATTCATTTGAATGGGGCAAGGTTTTCAAAATAAAACTAAATATTTCAAAAGTACGAAGGTTAAAAAACTGCTGAAGAGAAGTATGAATGTCCTTGAAGCGCTGAACATTTTAATAGCTGAAAGCATGCAGAAATAAAAATTTTCTCATTCATTTTAATGGGGCAAAAAACTTACGGAATAATAATAATAAATAATTGGACAATACTCCTTGGATAATTTTCCTACACTATGAGTACTTTTACTTTTGATACTTTCTTAACTAATGGATCTAAATACTTCTAACAAAAACAGAATTTCATCTAAAACTAATATGATGTATTGCTATTTTATAATTACAATCATCCTTTTTCTATCAAACTTCTTTTTTCTATCAAACTTCTCCTCTTTACCTGTTCGTCTTTCTCGACCATCAACAAACTAGGATTGGATTTCTTTTGTTGTCTACTTTCAAAATCATCAACCCTACCTTTAATCTATGCCAAAATATACAGATACAGATTTTGTTCCTGCTGTTTCATCACAGCAGGGTGTCCAAGCTTACTTGACATAGAAATCTAGATGCCGTGGAAATTCCAGTTTTCCGGCCAGGATCTTCTGGTAGATTCCAAATGGATTGTCATCAAAGAACGGCGGGTACCTGTGGGGAGAAATAAATTTCGTCTCCATCTCCTGTCCCTCTAAAGCTGTACATACAGTGTCACAGTGTGCAAACTCTATTTGTACTCTGCAAAAGCAATGTGATGCAAGGAACAGGTAAAGCAGGTAAAACACTTACACTTACACTTACACACACACACACACACACACACACACACACACACACACACACATCCGTATCAGTGTTATACGGGTGTGTGTAAAATAACTTTATTAGTGTGTGTAAAATAATTAGTGACCATGTGGTAAGGTCAACATTTAGAATGAGGAGGTATTATAATTTTCTGCTGTAAACAAGGACTGTTTATACCTATTTTGCTGCTATTGTGTGTGTTTCTACCACCCACAGGCCTTCTGGTGCTTCAATCCACTGAATGCTTTCCCAACTCTCCTGTTCTTCACTCTGGCCTGGACAGGTCATTACCCACAAATTACTCACGGACACAGAAAAAGAGGTATTAGCCAAGGGATTGAATTTTGTGGTCACACCCAAACAAATCCCTGTGGTAGACTTCATCACAGCCACAGAGACAGCCATTAGGAACAACAAGCTGGCCGAGACAGAAGCGGAAGAACTGCGGATGAAGGTCGAAGGTCACAGCCGCTTTGGCCAGTGCCAAACTCCCACCCTCGAACCTTACCCCCAAGGAAAGGAGGGCTTTAGCTACACTATAGGAGGATGAAACAATCACAATACTTTCAGCAGGCAAAGGCAGGTGTACAGTAGTCCTAAACTCAGCTGACTATCAGACCAGAGTTTCCGACCTCCTCAGTGACACCACCAACTATGAAGCACTGAAGAGGGACCCCACCAGTGGCTACAAGATGAAGGTTATAGGCCGTTTACAGAAGTTGGAAAAGGAGGGAGTTATTGACCGGCGACTGTACTACAGACTATACCCCGGGGAGACCATCCCTTGCATTTATGGCCTACCCAAAATGCACAAGAAAGGAGCCCCACTCAGACCCATTGTCAGCAGCATCAACTCTGTGACTTACAACATACCATTCTGGCTCCTTTGGTGGGAAACACAGAAAACCACATAATTAACTCCCAAGACTCCGCAAGGAAAGTCCAACAACTGCAGCTGGAGCAGGACGAGACCATGGTCTCATATGATGTCACATCCTTGTTCACTTGCATCCCCACCACAGAGGCTGTCAGGGCGGTGAAGAAAAGACTGCTGAAGAATGACACACTAAACAACAGGACTAACCTCACCCCAGACCATGTATACTCTGCTGGAACTCTGTTTAAACACTACCTACTTCCAGTTTAGGGGGCACTTCTATAGGCAGAAACACGGCTGTGTGATGGGCTCCCCTGTGTCTCCTATAGTTGCCAACCTGTACATGGAAGAAATTGAGGAGAAAGCCCTGTCTTCCTTCACTGGTACTGCTCCCGGCAACTGGTTCTGATACGTGGATGACACATGGATTAAAATCTGGACCCAGGAGATAGAGGCTTTAACCAAGCATATCAACTCTGTGGATGACAACATCAGGTTCACTCGTGAGGATGCCAGAGATGACTGTCTGGCCTTTCTGGATTGTGCAGTCCACTTGGGAGGGGACAGAAGCCTGAAGGTAGAAGTATATCGGAAACCCACACACACGGACCAATACCTGCTTTTTGACTCACAAAATCCACTTCAACACAAACTGGGAGTCATCAGAACTTTAAATCACAGGGCAGAGGAAGTGCCCACAACTGCAGAAGGGACCAAGAAGGAGAAATTACACATCCAGAACCCCCTTAGGGCTTGTGGATACCCTAAGTGGGCCTTCACCAAAGCAAGGAAGAGGCCCAACACCAACAGGGAGAAACAAAAAAAGTATGCAATTAAGTGTAGTCAGGAGTGTAACGACTTGTACACTGGTGAAACTAAGCAGCCGCTTCACAAACGCATAGCCCAACACAGGAGGGCCAACTCCAGTGGACCAGAGTCAGCAGTCCACCTTCACCTGAAGGACAAAAGACATTCTTTTGAGGAGAGTGAAGTCCAGATCCACTCCAGAGAACATCGCTGGTTTGAGAGAGGAGTTAAGGAAGCTATTTTTGTAAAAATAGATCACCCCTCACTTAATAGGGGTGGTGGACTAAGACACAACTTGTCTTCCATCTACAATCCTGTTTTGAGATCTCTGCCCAAACATGCCCACCAGGACAATAGGCATTGGTCGACAGGGGAGGATTCAAAGACAAGTAACGACTCTCACCGATACTTGGCTATAACGACTCAGTCGTTAAGGGACATTGCTGGCCTTCAAAGGACTGAAACACCAGGGGGATAAATATCTCCGGCTCAACACCAGTCAGTCAGAACTGATGAAGCCTCTTGGATGAGAGGTGAAATCTCTTCGACCTAGAAGTCTAGTCCAGTTGATTTTTTCTAAGTTTTTTCAGTTCACAGAATCTGTTATTATATGGATAGAACTTTTTATGCATCATTTACGAGTTACTAATATTTGGAGGAGTTAGTACTGACTGCTTTGACATATTTTTCATCCAAGTCACAGTCTGATTGAATTGACTGTGCTTTGGATAAGCTAACCTATCTTAGCATCCAGAGCTTTGGGTCAGAATGGCCAGGTAATGGTACAATAAAAGGTAACTTAGCTTAATGTAAATAAGCATCAATTAAAAGGTGCTTCTTATGAAAAGTATTTACAAATTATAAACTTGTCTTATACAATGGAGGTGTTGTACCAAAACCCCCTTAAATTAGACCTAAAGTCAACCCCCTCGCATCAGTCATTCATTTCAAATACAGGGTTCCTGCAACCATAACCTATCATCTGCTCTCCAACATCTCAGTTAAAGGGCTTTCAAATAGGACATGGTATGCACTGTGCTCGCTAAGGGGGATGGGCACAGCACGGGGAGGAGGGCAAACATGTGCAAATCACGCACATGTTGCTAGGCAACAACAAAAAAAAACTTTCCAGGAGATGTTTAGCAGATAACTAGTTTTTTGAGTAGCGGACTTGGATGCATGATGCATCTATCTACATGTCAGCAAAGGGACGGTGTGCGCAACCTTGCGCTGTGCTCAGCTCAGGGCAGCACAACACAGAAATCAATGTGTTCGATAGCGGAGTAGAGCACCTTCCGCATCCTATCTAAATTGCAGTGTTTCCCTGATAATAGTACAGGCATGGCAGGCCACCAGGGACAGTATATGTTAAAAGGAACCTAATAAAAAACTGATTTATTATTTAATAAAGTGCATTTTTCATCTTTTTTCATTTTTTCATATTGTGGCAAATATTGTATGTGGACTTTTCATCATGGAAGTATCATACTATGAGTTTTTGGTATTGTTACATCCCTAGTACATACCTGTTGCACAAGTTGCAGGTAGCCCTGTAACCCTAACATGATTTTGCAGGGTTTTCACTAACATAGAAAGGCTTAGACACAGCGCCTAATACAGAATAACACTTGGTGTGCCCCTGATACAAAGTCTTAAACAATATTGAAGTCATCCTCAACTTAGCCAACAAGGCACAGATGTTAATAATTATAAAAAATGATGGAGACCTTTAAAATAAGATGGGGTGCTTTTTAAAGGGATAATCATCATTGCGCTTCATCTACCAGTTTTCTCATTCACAGATTAATTTCTAGTTTCCAATAAGCACACAATGAATAGATTTCTGTCACTGAGACATTAACAGCAGTATGGTTAACAGAATACCTCCTCTGTTCCAGGTATGCAGACTCTCCTCCAGTGCTCTCTCATTCACCTTCACTTGCAGGGCTATTCTGTTAGATTGTATCACTAAAATACAGGCATTCATGTTATTGACCCCCTCCCCCTCTAGTCATGTGGAGGAGACCTTAAAGTGTTCACTGCTTGGGCTTCAAAGGGGTTTTTTTTTCCACCAGTGTGTGTGTGTGTGTGTGTGTGATTAGAACATGAGAAATTCTTGCTGCAACATTTCTTTTAGATAGGGCTAACATTTCAGTGACAAAGTGCACAGCAGCAGATTCCAGCCTATCACTCTCTACATAACCACCTTATTTTAGACAAACTGTTGGTGTCTAATAGTCAAACAAGATGAAACCTCACTGTTCTCTAGCAAATGGACAGAATGTTTAGTGCTGCTTTACCTCAGTTGCTGTGGTGGAGAAGTGTGCCCCCTAGTGTTTACTTGTGAGCAATGCAGTGTATACTGTACAATACAGTGCATACCCTGCCAGCATTTCAAAGATAAGGATGCCTAGAGCCCACCAGTCTACTGCTCGGCCGTGACCTTTGCTTTGGATGACTTCAGGGGCCAGGTACTCAGGAGTGCCACACAGAGTCCAGGTCCTGATCAGACAGAAACAGAAAGCATCGAATTCATAATGAAAATATTGCAAAGTTTCAAGGTTCTTTACTATTCACATTAATTTGGTAAAGAAAATTTGAACTACTTACAAGTGGTACAACATTTCTAAACACAAATAATTACTAGTTTTACTAAACTAGTAAAATTACTAAACAGAAAAAAAACTGATCTAAGGGAATGCATTTTAAAGCATGTGTCTGGGAGAGATTTAAACTAAGATGACGAGTTAGTTTGCTTCATGTCATCAGGCAGGTCATTCCAGAGTTGAGGGACCCTGAGTGCAAGGGCCCAGAATAATCAATACATCCCTACCAAAGGATCTCTGCCTATACTCAGTTTCAGTGTAGAAATGATTCGGGTAACAGCTTCTGCTGAGCACCACCGTTTCTGGTTAGCATCACAAATGGCGGGGTCATAACAGTCGTCTCTACCTAACGTTGACTCCGTGACTTAAAATGATGACAGGGCAAAATGAAACTAGCTGTTGTCAGTTTTGTGACCTTGCTTCAGCCAGTGGAGAAATAGTCAACACACCGGCCACTGTTAGCCAAAGATTCTTTATGAGGTAATGGGGCATCACTCTGTAACACCACTGAATATTGAACTGAATCCTTTTCTGTAGTTCCAAAAACTCCAGCAGAGTGAGGCATCTTCACAGGTAATCTCACATCAGTGATGGAAATGGAGCACATTGTGTGGGATGGTTATGAAGATCTGTTTATCTTTTACATTACATATTGCATAAAAACTTTGACAGCTTTTTGTTTTTTAAGGTTTAACCTCCACAAAGAATACAGGAAGCAGGCTATAACGTGGTTGGGGAATAAATCTTCTGAATGGTTACAACAGACATGGCAGAATGTAGGTAATTTGATTTGGGTACTGTATATATAGCTACATTAGCTATATCCTATATAGTCTAGTTGCACAGCTGTGGGCTTTTGAGACTGGACATTTTTTATTTATTTTTTTACTTGTTTCTAAAAAAGGATAAGGATAATCACCTTTATTGGCCAAGTATGTTACAAACAAGGAATTTGTTTCCGGTACAGAACCGATGGCAGCCATCTGCAGTACCACCTCAACCGACGGCTCTAACCATCGGGGGCGGGGGTTTAGTGTCTTGCCCAAGGACACTTTGACACGTGGACTGCCGGCACCGAGACTCGAACCTTCAACCTTCTGGTTGGGAGATGATGGCTCTACCACTGCACCACTGTCACCCCCCTCAAAAATAAGCTAACAGGGGGTTTACTGTCTTGCCCAAGAACACTTTGACATGTGGACTGCAGGCACCAAGATTCAAACATTCAACCTTCCAATTGGGATACGGCTGCTCTACCCACTGCACCACTGAAATTTTCCTGTTCTGTTGGCAGAATTTAGCTTCTTTGAAGAAATACATTTTTGAGAGATGAGTTTTTGGAGTGTAGCTATATTGCATTAGCCAAGGAAGCTAGTTAGCTCACAATACATAATATTTTATAAATATAAAAATTTCTCGAATAATTTTAACACCTAAGCCGCATAAAAACTTAGGGAAAACACTAATGTTTACAACTTTTTCTCAGTAGTAAACTCAAACATCCTCAACATTATCAGTTACTGTTTTGAGTAGCCACTACTGTCAGGTAGAAAGTGATAGCTTCTGCTCATTAAGTATACATCTGCAGATTCTATACTGCACTCTTGGTGCTTGGAGAAGATGGCACCCTTAGCTCAAGTGATCTGGCTGTGCCATTTGACAAAGCTGTCTCCTCAACAGGAGTTCTTTGTACATACTAGATCTATAAATGTCAGTCAGTGCTGGCTAGGCAACAAAAGATGAAAGCGTAATGAAGGCAAGTGTCCAAATCCAAGTGTTGGACAATGAGTGAAGGTCGCTTACTCAGTGTGAACAATAAGAGGAAGTCTAAAGCAGATCATTTGCTCCTGGCTCTATGTCCCGGCTGACAGAGTGGCTGATTGACACTTGTGCATGTGTAACGAGCACGCACAGCGTTCTCCCTGAAAGCCACTTGTCCTCTGATGAAGAGCACTTGGCCTGGCACCAGGCTTTCATTGTTTGTCACTGATAACACCTGGGTAATGACCTCTTTCATGCCGGTTGCCATGGTGATGGTAATCTGTATGGAAATGATGCTGGTCCTAGTGGAGGACCAGGAGACTGATGATGTTGGGGGACTAAAGCCTGGGTACTGGTCTGGATGGGTGGAGGCATGGCCACAGAGGAAATAAGACACGTGTTGTTGCTCTTCAGAGTGTTGTGTGTCATCATACGAGGCTTCATGTTTAAATGCGTTGATGAGTATGTCTGCCAGCAGGGGACACTGTGGCAGCATGGGTAGAATCAGGCTGTAATGATGCTCAATCACGTTCTGAACATGGAAAAGTACAAGAGAGCTGGTGGCAAAGAAGCAGATGTCTTCTTATTCCAGGCAATTCTGTCCTCCACTTACATAAGTAGGTCACTTGCACAACAGAGAGGTATCTACTCCTTATGTGCTTTGCTCTCTTAGTCTTGTGGAAAATGTAACTTACTCCATTATGTTTACATGTGCGTGGGGTTAATGCAGAGCTGGGTGAAAAGCCAGGGAAAACACTGCAGCAGTGGGGCTTCAGCGCAGATATAAGGCCATTTCTTCCCCTCTACGGGGCATCTTTAATATTCTGCTGAGGTTGCCGGAGGTCTCCCTCACAGTGTATCTAATTCAAACTAAATGACATCAGTCTTGGGAAGTTTGTCCTTCAGTGGCACTGCCATGGGTCTTGGAATTGGGAGGATTCCCTCAAATCTCCAGAGGACAACATGACACTGAACACATATACACACATAGGTATGACTAGGATGGTTTCTCTTCACTTTCACTTACTGCTGACAAAACTTAGAATTGGCTGGGTATTGCCAATATGATACACATCACATTACAGACCCCAAGATACAATACATATCAAAATGGATCACAATACACTATATATACAGTATCTACAGTACATAAAGCAGATAAAACTAATGATTCTGAATACATTTCTAAAATACAAAATGTTGCAAATAAAATGTTTCTCAAAAGTAAACCTTTTAAAGTTAAAATGACTCTTTATGCAAAGTACAATGTTCCATTTGTCACAGTCAACTGGCTCTTTTTATGCCTTTTAGTGACTAATCATTGAATATATGAACAGCATGTATGCACATATAACCCAAACTGTCCTTTAACTCACACTTGCTAATATGTTCTCAAATTTTTGTGCAGAAACAGTAGCTGATCAACATGCTCAATTTGAGTGCAATAGTTAAAAACAAACAAGGTACCAGTCCACAGGTAATATGTAATAGAATAGTGTGTAGTTTATATATAGACGTTACTTGTAGTAGTTATGTAAGGGTGAGCTAAGTGTTTATGTAAGCTTGATCTGTTTCTCTTCTCTTGCTCAAGCAAGGATATCTTGGCTTGTGTCCTCCTTGTTTAATTTATGGGTCAACATCCAGAGAGGACATGGCTTCAGCCTTATGTGAAATGTTCGTGTGCTCTGTTCATGTTTGGAAAAAGGAAATGTAGGTCAACGCGACCTAGAAGTTCATGTACTGGACATCTTAGACAATTCTTGTAAGAGGTGTAGAGCTGGCGTGGGACTGTGACTCTGGCTCAAGCAATAGGAGGCTGTGTAACTGTGAGAAGATAAAATTTAGGACAGCTGTGGGTTAGTAAGAGAGAAGGACTGATAGTGCTGCAGTCGTGAGTGGACCCCACCAGGGGGACTCTGGACTCTGACTGACTGTACCTTGTGGCCAACAATGACTGACTGACTCTTAATACTTTATCTATTCCATTGCAGGAGGAGTGATTCTGTTCCCTAACTATCAGATTGCGGGAGTGTCTCATAACTTATTACCTGTTCAGAATTACTGTAATATTAAATGATTATTTGAACTGGGATGATTTGCCTGAATTCATTTAGTTTGTATCAGATCCTAACTACTACAAGAGCACTCTTCTGAGTTGTAACTATATCACCAGCTGTAGAAAACACTATTTCTGCAGCTACACTTATTCCTGGGATGCAGAGGACATTTTTTATCTAAGTTGGAGAATAATAGGAAAGCAGATTCATTCTTCTACCAGCTTATTGGATCTCCACTAAGAGCCAGTGGGACTTTCTCCTTGCACTTTTTGACTTCATCCTCAGGCATGGCACGCTGTACATGAGACCTGACATTTAAAAGGCTGATAAAGGTCTCTCCAAACAGATCATCAAGGTACAAGAACCGCCAAAGTTCCCAAGTCTTTTTTTTTGTAGAGTGGGAAGGGAGATTCAAGCAGTTCTTGGTCAGGTAAAGTCTTCTGGATTTGAGACTAGGAAGATGTTTAAAATAAATAAAACAATAGAAAAGGGTGTATCCTGGACCAGTGTGTTGCAATATACAGTATGTTTACTTAATATACAAATAAAGTAGAATACATAATTTGTGTGATACATATATTGTGTACAAAAATAAGGCATAAAAATCTATTAATGTGATATAGGGTTAGGGTTAATATACTGTAGTCTTTTTCTATTTTTAAGCCATATGGATAGATATTTGTGTAATCAACTTTAAATTCAAGTAGATGATACACAACATCCAAAAAATTTGCTAAGCTCACCTGATGATTCCTGACCGCGTCTGCTATCACTGTAGTAAAGGTCTCCTCTTTCTCTTCCTCATCTAGAGCAGTGTTTTAAACCAGGGATTCAAAGCAGAGACCATGGACAAAAAGCGTTTATCACACACACATCATCATTTCCCCTGGTCTCTTGTCACAGCATTTGTGATGTCTTAAATAACTGCAGAGTCTGTTGCCTAGGCCTGAGTGCTGGGAATCAGCTGCGTGTGCAGTGGTGCAATGATGGACACTGTGGGTGTTTTCTCTTCTGACATTACATTTGTCACTACTTTGGGGGGGTTACAGGGCTTTAGAAATAGCTTCAGTGAAGGCAG